ATAAGACACACACAAAAAACTTCACAAGCATGACAGGCAGCCACAGTTCGCTTTATAACCCTAAAATAAGAAACTGCGCAAATAAATGGTAATAAATTGTGCATTAGACATAGTTCATTAAACGTTCAAGAAAAGATAAGAATGGTTGACTCTGAAGCCACCAAGTATCAATTTATATTTATTAAGGTGTATCAAAATATCGATCCTGAAACATGAGCTCATTTTGTTACGATCTCATACTACACTAGCCCTTTGAAGTTTATATGGGAATTACTATTGGAAAAGTGACCTTTTTGAACACAACGGCCTAGCCTTTCGCCATTAAAATTTACGCGTAAGCTTGTTATCTGTGCTTGTGTGAAATTTCAGCTACAAGTGGATCCATGCCATATGACGAATCGCAAAAATTTTACCATTTTCGATCTGCATAAAACTTTGCACAAATGTGTGTTTTCGACAATCATTCACATTTTTACAAAAATTCGGCTGTGTTGGATGATGTCTTCCTAGGAAAAATATACATGGTATTTTGATGAAGTAATTTTGAGCAAACATTTACGATTATTAAAAACCCAACTAACTCAAAAATTACAAAAAAAAAATCTTTTAATTTTTTCGAACCTCTTAACGGAACCCCTTCATGAAGAGCTTTTTGAGTGTGTTGATTTATTTCGTTTTAATTCCGTTATATTTTTTTTTATCTTTTGACAGATACGCGTATTTCGTCTACTACTTGCAGACTAAATCAGTGCCAAGTACTAAGGTGTTGAGTACTTGGTACTGATGAAGTCTGCAAGTAGTAGACGAAATACGGGTATCTGTCAAAATATAAGCAATTATAACGGAATTAAAAGGAAAAAAAATATAGTAACAAGACCCAAGTAACATTGCAAGCTTTATAGAGGTTTTAAAGCATTCTACAAGTCCAAATCATGGTCTACAGAACCCTCATAAAACCAACATTGTTACTTGGGGATCCAACATGGACGAATTTTTGTTCGTAACACATAATTACGTAAAATTTCATGCAAATCAGATAAGATCGAACCTTAAATTTTGATTTTGTTTATCCTGTTTGGCCTGGAACTGGTCAGTTTGCTCAATATCACTTTTTGATGGACCTTCAAAATAATTATTTATTGATTGATTTCGAAGCCGACAACTTTCTGATATGATTAATCGACGACTTTCAGGGCAACATATCAAGAAGGTTGGCAATTCTCCCGTTTTCTTATACGACCGCTATAAGACAGACATAATCGCGTCATCTGCCGCTCAAAGGTAAATGCTCTAAACGAATTTGACAGTAAAATGTATCCTAAGAAGACATGTTTGTGTATATACTCATTTTTAGATGCCTTACTCCCACCTTCGCTCAAGCGTAGTGTTACCATAGAGGTAAGCCTGAGACCAGAAGGTCCCGAAGAAACGTGCTCCACTTTTTGGGTCAGCTCTGGTACTATCTTCGGTCGCAAGCTTATCGATGCACCCCTCGAAACACACGAAAATCCATGAACCCCTCATTTTATCTGTCAAACTTTCATAGCGAAGCAAAACAAACATAGTGTAGTACTAGAATTGCGACTAGAATGGGGTACGTTATTCTATTTGCTTGGGACCAATAGGCTATAGTCAAGTGTGAGCCAATTTAAAATCGTTAGTTTCCACCGGTTGGTGTTACTGTATCTGTCACCAATTTTTTCCCTTGATTTGTTTTCCGTACTGAGCACCACTGTGAAGGCAGCTCCTACACCTGGACCTTGGACTTTGGAACCACTATGAACTGGTGGACTTGGCGTTAAGGTGAAGGAGAGTAGCGATACGCTAAATTTGGAACAATCTATTTTACCTGTCGACCCATCAACTCATAGACCGGGGACCAAAGGCTTTACTTCCCAGAAAATCCAAGTGGTGCCAACTGGGATTGAACACAGGCTTTTTGGTTTGAGAGGCAATCACGCTTACCACTACACTACCGGCGCCGCCGTCGACAATGTTGCCAGTCTTCTTAATATGATGACTTTGGTCTTGCACTTACGCCAAGTAGAGTATTTAGAATGACGACATCTTATCCATTTGACCTCGATTGAAATGACGTTTTCCAAGCAGTTGACAGATAATATATTGTTCTTAGCGGCGCCGGTGGTGTAGTGGTAAGCCTGACTGCGCCTCTCACCCTGGGTTTAATCCCAGTCGGCGCCACAGGGATTTTCTGAGGCATACAATCTCTGGAATTTAAACCGTTCGTCCACGGTCTATCAGTTGATGGGTCGATAGGATATTTTTTTAATATTAAAAGAAACAATTTTTGATGGAGTGCAGTTTAGAACCCCTTCGGATACGGTTGTGTTTTAAGTTTGCTCTCTGTTTCGTGCGTGCGTTCGCTTTCATAGTTTTCGGCTGCATTTGCCTGATTAGTTCTGGCACTCTGCCTTCCGGACGGTTATACGTGTTTGATGGGTGATTTTGTCGCTTTCTGGGAAGTTTTAGAATCGATAAAGAAAACGTGATTCATCATGTTTGCAAGCATCAGAAGAGATGTCGCTATCTGCGTTGTTTGTTTTTTTTTATCTCCTGGACCAGACATTGATGGCATCACGAGTGATAGTTTTTATTTCAGTATATTTACACGTTGTAAGGTACGTGAAAGAGCTCGGCACGGTTGGAGTTGATGTTGGTTCGCTCGCAACTATTTTTGCAAAAAATTCAGTGTTTTCGACCGACATTTATATCGAAAGTGTACCAAAAGTGTGGAACGACTAACTTTCAAGGGCTTATGCAAAAATGATACGTATCAATAGAAAAACACATATCTCACGAACGTTTTGTTTGATCGAGATGGTGTCTTGGGCGAAGTTGCGGACAAGTATTGTGCCTTTCAAGAAAAAATATACACTGTAAAAAATTATTTTAGCATTTACAAAAAAATCAATTAATTAATTATTTTTTTATATTTATATTGTAGTTTAGATAAAGTTCTACTCACTGACAATGTGTATTTGTTAGGCAATTCATAAACAAAAAAAATATGAATTATCGGCATGGCAACCACATTCATCAGGATGAATTATCGGAAAAAGTACTATTTTCCAAAATACTACCTACATTTATCGAATATCTCTGATATGGTGTGATTATTAAAACACATTAAATTTACAATAAAAAATCTCTCAGTGCTTAAATTTCCCAAAGTTGTTATTTTCGAGATACTCGTAGGTTAAAATTTACTTATCACATAATTAGAGCATTTTTTACCCTTTTGAGATGTTATTCGTGAGTGTCATATTTTGAAAATATTTTTAACAAAAAGCCCAAACTGTTTTATGCTGATGACCTAAAACTTTTTCGTGTAATTGTTTATCCTGCCGACTGTGTTGCAGTACAAGAAGATAAAAATCATTTGTTAGTCTGGTGCGGCGACAACGGCATGCAAGTCAACTGCAAAAAATGCAAAGTGATATCCTTCACCCGCTGCAATATCGTTACTCTTCATTCATACTGCATGAGACCGGATTCCCTAGAATGTGTAAACTCAATCTGCGATCTAGGCGTTACGATCGATTCCAGGTTAACGTTTTGTGAACACATAAGCATAATAACTACCAAAGCATACACTTTGCTTTGTTTTATTCGTCGTCATGCTTCTGGTTTCACCGATGTGTATTGCCTCAAGACACTATTCTGCTTGCTGGTTAGTAGTATCTTAGAGTATGCATCCCCAGTGTGGTCTCCATTTAACACTACGCATACTCTTACAATTGAACGGATTCAGAAAAGTTTCATGACGTTTGCTTTACGTCAGCTCCTATGGAATGATCCAGTAATTCTTCCTAGCTATCCAGACGGATGCATGCTGGTTGATTTGGAATCTCTCTTAGCAAGGCGTATCAAATTATATTCAACCTAATTACCGGCAATGTGCACTGTCCCGAACTCCTGGAACGGATTCCATGGAAAATTCCTTCTCGCAGATTTCGTAACTCCCCGTTATTGTCAATTCTATTCCACTGAACTAATTTTGGATTCAATAACTTTTTTAATTCCTGTTTGCGTTCCTTTAAAGATGTTTGTAATCAATTTGATTTTACTATGTCCAAATATGTGTTAGTAATAGAATAAGAGGTTTAGATTAAACAAGTTTTACTTTTAAGTAATCAGTATGATGTAGTTGAAGACGGTGTGCAATAAATAAATACCAACTTTGTAATTAATGGTAACAATCTGTTAAAATTATTTTAATAAGTACTCTTTAGATTGACTAACAAAATCAAAATATTGAATGTTTTCTTCTTCTTATTATTCTCATTCTTTTTTTTTTATAGTCTATTAAGTCCAAAGAGTCTTTACACCTGCCTTCAACTTTTGGATCTTCAAGCTCTACGGTAGATGTAGAGAGCATTCGAAGCTTTTATTCTGTTTCGTATTCGTATAATGTGAAACTATAACAATAAACAGGGCATGCCCAACCCTCAAATGTAGCGAGCAGGAATCGAACCCGGCCGCCTCTGGCATGGTATGCCGCTCTGTTACTGACTGCAACTATGCTCCGATGTATGGAATTACTGTAGTTTCAACAGATTTGATGAAAACATTATTTCGAGTGAATACCTGATCTATGGATAATGATAATACCATGCTGTAGTTTGATTGAAATACAAGATTATCATTTATCAATACAACTTAACTGCAAATTTTCACTATCATCGATTTCTCACATACAACTCACACAAATCAATATTGTCGTTTACGAGAAATCGGCGAAAGATGCTAATTTTGCAGAAAGACACTGAAATTAAATTCAATTCACATAATCAGACAATGTCAGCAATTATGTGCAGTATAAAAATTAACCAAAAATATAATTTTACTTTATATAAGACCAGATTTTGGATAATGTAAACAAAAATTATGTATCCGCGAATACAACCTTCTTAGGGCAACTAGCCACTAAATGTTCACAAATAAATATAACTGTATCTTTCGATTGTATGCTAACTTACCGCCTGCGGATTGAGGATGTAACTGTAGAGGACCTCCACTTGCTGCAATATTATGTGGTAAAAATGCGGCCGCAACAGCCGCGTGAGCATTGAAGTAAGCCATCCGTGAGGCCGCCATCTGCATCTGATGCTGATCCGCCGAGAACGTAGTTTGTCCAACGCTGGGATAGAGAGACGGAGTAACTGCCGATACCACGCCACTAGGTCTGGAACTGTCGCTCAATCCAAGCAGCTCCTGGATAGCAAACGGTGAACGTTGCGGCATGGTTTGAGGAGGGCGACTGGTGGCCCCTGGAGCTGTAACGTGAATTGTCTCGGGCCGAGGTATCGAGTCCAAATTCATTGTTTACTTTGCTTCAATTCACTAACGAAGCTATAGGTAGGCTTCTGTACTCGAACACTTTTAATGCATCATTTGATGATCTGAAGTATTCTGGTGAACAATGTTTTCCTCGTGATATAATAAATCCTATTACAGACACAATTCACAGTACAGAGTATTTTCACAATTTAAACTAAAAAACCGACGGCACACTACGCAACATCGTATTCACTCTTTTTTTTTTTGTTATCACTATCAATATATTTTTCAGACAAATTTTCGTTGTTATGATTACTACTTTGCAAACTGGCAAAATGCACAAGAAATTCGTTACAATCCCCGGCGATCAAGTTCCAAATAATCTTATTAGAACATGAACTTACTCACTTTTCTCATAACATCACCGAGTATCGCGCGGAGAAAAGTGCAGAAAGCATCCGAACGGTTGTGATATCACGGTAAAACTAAAATTTAAATGTCATCATAATCATGTTCATGACCGCACGTACATAAAATAATTTATCACCGTACACACGACGCGAACGCGATGATAAACAAAAGCATACACAGAAATGGACTGATATACGATCACAGTTGGCGTTGGCGGCGGGAATCTCGTGTTCGTACTACACCCGGGCTACTGCGAGATGCATCACACGCGACGAGGTCGAAATTCTATGTGGCTCTGAGTTTTTTCCGAAAGAACCACGCTCGCGAGTGAGCTATGTTTGATGCAAAATATGAAAAATACACATCCATCCATATGGTACACGAATAAAAGAAGGAAGAAAGCGTACGCAAATAAAAACAACCAGCTCTCTCACGCACACACATGCCCTACGAGAGCCGGCTATGGTTCATGGTAGCAGCCTGGTAGCATGAATTGGCTACTCATTTTCGAATAGATTTGTGAGAGGAATGGAAGCAGAGGTAAACCCGTCAAACAAACTGTGAGTAGGATAGAAAAACAAATTTCCATCACAACCAAAAGCATCAGACACCGATTGAGACTAGCTGTGTCTCCTATAATCATGTGGTTTCCGAGCAGAAACGAAAAGCCCTACTACAAGAAATCATCCCTCCAACTGCAAGAAAAAAATGGGTGTTGCCGTTAAAGGGGGCGTAGCCAACGGACGACTATGTCACTCACACTTGCTAATAAGTATCGTATCGTTTCAGAGTGGGGATAATCAGTGGTGTCGTGTATACTACAACTACTGATACGCTTCGGCAAACCAAAAGAATGAATGAAAAGCAAGAATATACATAACGGAGGAGGAGAGTTGGGTTGGAGAAAAAGAACATGGCCCGCGGATACCATCAACCATTCTGTAAGTAAACCCATACAATGGAGGTGTTTCGGATGGTTTGAGTGATGTGCTGGTATGCGTCGCGACGCGTATGTGATTAAGGGTTCCAAACGATCTCGCTGGTATCCGGCGTCTCTCGTAAAATCTGTAATTTTATTACGGATTTAACAATGAGAACATGTTAATTAAAACAGTAATTAGTTCGTTATCGATTGGCTGTGTTGATACGCGGTTGAAGTTTTGCTATTTGCTTTTCTCCTGCGAAATTCATGCTACATTCGCATTGGAGTTGCAAGATAATCAGAGCCATCTCTGTTACTTGCCTGGAGCTTGACGTCTGCCAGTCGTTAAATGAATACTTCGCACTTAGTTTTGTTTGCCGAATGTCGGCAATTTTGGCATCGCCGAGCAGCTCGCCTGCTCGGCAATGAGTTTTACAGAGCTCTCAGCTGCACAGGAAAAAAATCTGAATTTACTGGTGACGTGAAAATCTATGCACAGAAAATAATTCAGAGTTTTAATTGCAATAAATAAACATTCATTAACGTAATCTTATATTTCATTTCACATAAACGAGCAACTTGTAAGTACACAGAAAAAAATTCTGAATGTTAATTATCGCGTAAAATTTTGAACTATACTTGGCATAAACAGCGAAATCGTTTACCAGCTTACACGAAATATTGCGTAAATTTATGCCAAATCAAGCGTTAATTTTATGTACGCTATAATCTCGCAGAAATTAAAATGAATTTTTCAAACGGTGTAATGGGCTTTGGTATAGAATATTTCAAGAGCAAATTTTCATTACGTCGAAAGTAACACAGGTAAACAAATTTGATCTATCAGTGTCAATCGATGCTTCTGCTGAGCAATTCTCTACAGATTGACGAATTTTTCATTTTTTTTTTAATTTGTCGGCTCCGATTTTGATGAAAATTTGCACAGTTGTTCTTTTTTAGTAAAGATGCCAATTTGTGTTATCAGTTCTTCAAATTGAATCACGACTACTTTTCTAACAGGGCCTGTGTAAAAATAGTACTAATGAGTTAAAAAATATATATTGCTGAAAAGGTTTGTTGGATTGATTTGGTGTCTTCAGCACAGTTGTAGATATTATTTTGGCAATAATGTTAAAAATATACACTGTAAAAAAATTCGTTTGTTTCAATGAAAAAATTATATTTGTTATTAAAAAAGTTAATTTCTCAAAAAGTGCATTTTTGAAAATTTTCGTTTTAAGCCTTTTGAAGCTCATAATGTTTGCTACAAACTGGCAAAGTTTGGGGATGGTAAACTCAAAAACATAAAAGTTATGATTTTTTTTGAAAATTTCACGATTTTTATTTTTTTTTTTTTTTTCCTTTGGTTTTGTTTTTTCCGTCGATCTTGTTTTCCGTGCTGAGCACCAATGCTACCGACGTGTCAGGAAGGCAGCTCCTACACCTGGACCCTACCTATCGACCCATCAACTCATGAACCGGGGACCAACGGCTTTACTTCCCATCCGAAGGAAGGCGTGATCAGAGATGTTATGCCTCAGAACATCCCGGCGGCGCCGACTGGGATTGAACCCAGGCCTGCTGGGGTGAGAGGCAATCACGCTTACCACTACACCACCGGCGCCGTTGTCACGATTTTTATATTTTTGTTAAAAACACATGTTTTTCAACCGTGTATATTTTTTCAAGAATCGCATTTATATCGGGAGAATTATCAATCACGTCTCCTTACGTGTAGCCCATTCATCATTTTAGGACTACCGAAATCATCATAGCAACATTTCGACTTATTAGCTTAAATAATGAGAAAGTGAAATGACGAACGTACACTTTTCACGGGTTTCTCTGCACTGTTACTTAAGACAAACGGCATCTCCATAGAAATCGGGTGACTTAATTAACATCGAAAAATATTTTGATCAGAAGGCGATTACGTCAAAAACAATTTGACTGGTAAATAAATTTAAAAATGGGATGTGATCCTAAATTCGGACAGTTTATAGTGTAACAGCAGAGGCATTCCACGAAGGTTCGCAAATCTATCCTGTCCGATCATTTCCAATTACGCTGAAACTTTGCACAGTTGTTCATTTTTTGTAAAGGCGCCATTTTGTGCTCTCAGTTTTTCATATTGAATCACGACTACTTTTTGAAAAAAGACCTGAGTAAAAATAGTACTAATGAGTTTAAAAATATATATTGCCGAAACGGTTTGTTCGATTGATTTGGTGTCTTGAGCAAAGTTGTAGATATTATTTTGACAATTGTGTGAAAAATATACATTGTAAAAAATTTCGTTTGTATCAATTAAAAAAAAATATTTATTAATAAAAAAGGTTAATTTCTCAAAAATCCCTCTTTTTTAATTTTCGTTTTAAGCCTCATTGAAGCTCATAATGTTTGCTACTAACTGGCAAAGTTTGGTGATGTTAAACTCTAAAACAAAAAAGTTATGGTATTTTGAAAATTTTACTATTTTTATATTTTCATTAAAAACACATGTTTTTTCACCGTGTATATTTTTTCAAGAATCGCATTTTAATTTTGCACAACTTTCCCCAAGACATCATAGCAATCAAGCGAGCCGTTTTTGCAATGTATTAAAATGTTTATTTTATAAGCGCTTTTCTACACAGGCCCTATTGAAAAAGTAGTCGGGGTTCGCTATTACAAATTGTGTGAAAAGTGTACGTTCATCATTTCGCTTTCTCATTATTTAAGTGAATAAGTCGAACTGTTTGTTGCTATGATGATTTCGGTAGTCCTAAAATAATGAATGGGCTGCACGTAAGGAGACGTGATTGATAATTCTCCCGAATATCCTGGTAAATACACTTTGACTTAAGTAACATTAGGGAGCCACCAAACGACGTATAATAACAAAAACCAGTATGTTTAGCATGCTAGCTAGCAATCTGCTTTGTATGATTAAAACCCTGCTTAATATGTTAAACATTGCTATCACTATGAGATTATATGTGTTTAATTGGAAATAGGAAATATGTTGCACATATGTAAATGGCGTATCATGTATTATACAAGTTTATATTATACATCGTATCAAATTATGAGACAAGTAATGAATTATTCCAAATATTATATGAAAGTTGCTAATTGACGTGAAATGGAATACAATATTAAACGCATGGATTTTTACATCACCAGTAATTCAGATTTTTTTTCTGTGCATGTTTGATGCGACCAGGTATGGATCGCTCTTTTCGGAATGTTCCACTATTTTTTAATATATAATGCTTAAGAAAAAATCCAATTGAATTTTCATTTAACCTATTATTAAATATATAGTTTAGTCACAGACAAACAGACATAACGCATCGTGTACTTTTCACTGTAAAACATCGTCAATAAAACACAACCACTACGCTCAACAGATGGTAGTAGTGTGTAAACGTTAAACGCAAGGAAATTGATTATACGCGCCATAGGCGGTGAGACTACCAACTAACAAACAATTAAATTGATCTTTAAATGCGTGTTCGATGAAAAGCAACAGGAACTTATTAATAAGTATTCCTGACTTCGCTAGTTTCAAACAACTTAATTACTTGGCGTAGTTTGAGGAAGGTTTTTACCCTTCTTACAAAGAAGGGTATAGATATCACTTGAAAAACCATTCGACTCAGCTCGACGAGATCGGAACATGTATGTGTGTGTGTGTGTGTGTACGTGTGTATGTGTGTATGTGTGTGTGTATGTAACGAAATGAATGCGCTCACGTTTCTCAGCAACCGCTCAACCGATTTGGACAAACTCGGCGCCAAATGATAGGTCTTGGGGTCCCATTGAACGCTATTGAACGGTTTTGGAATCAGTGAACCGGTTCCGGAGATATGACCGGAATTAGATCCGGTGAATATGGGCCTTCACGCTGGATTTAACGGAAAACGTATCAAAACCATCATGCGACACATCAAATTACTACAGAATTCAAAAATAAGATCAATGCAAGTCGTGTTAAGTGTTCCAGACCACATTGGACACACTTGGACATGTTCCGGGTACCCCGGGGAAGTTGCTTGAATATGAATTGAATTAAAACCCATTAAATCACATTAAAATACGATGAAAAGGTGATTGGTAGCCTCACCAAATAGACTACACCCGGATATATTCCGGGTACCCCCAGGCAGTGGCGTAGCGTCACTGGATGACACGGTGGTGGGGGGCTAGGTCACTGATAATGACAATAAAATAAATAAACTTGAATAAGTAAGAAGGGTCTGATCACACCATAGGTGGATAAATTCGGGTTTTTTTTATTGAAAATGTTAAATAGAGTTGCGAACTTGAGTTGCATTTTTGCAAGTGGAGCAAAAGTTACTCAAATAAAACGGTATATCGATAATTATTATAAATTCAGCTCCCACTGACCCTGCCCGCCCTGCCCATTGCTTCAGTGAGGATAAGGGCACGTTC